GGAGAGGGGGATATTTGTGTGTGTATGGGGGGGCGGAGAGGGGGATATTTGTGTGGGGGAGAGGAGGATATTTGTGTATGTGGGGGTGGGAGAGGGGGATATTTTGTGTGTGTGTGTTTGGGGGAGGGAGAGGGGGATATTTTAAGTATGTGTGTGTCGGGGGGGAAATGGGGATATTTGTGTGTGTTGGGGGGGAGATGGGGATAGTTGTGTGTTCTGGGGGGCGGGAGATGGGGACACGGGGGTGATGCGGGAGCTTGCGCTGATTATCCCCGGGCGGAATTGCAGAGAGCGGTGAATAGTGTAGAGTCAGTAACAGAGAGTGAAGGGCAATGTGGGGATGATTGGAGATTGTGAATAATTAACAGAAAGCAGGGTGCACAGACTGAGCCGAGTGCATCAGAGATTAGCTATTAAATGCCAAACATCACCAACGCAATGGGCAGTTGGAAAGATCGAAGACTGGGAGCCTGAGTAAACAAACAAGTGAAGGAAATGGCCGCAGAGGAGAATGAGATGGGTCTGCTCCATCGACTATCTGATCTATTTTCCATGGGGACTGTGACTATCTCCCAGACTGACCTCCTGACTGGATGTCCTGCTTCGAGAGGCAGCTCCCGTGCGGCCAGTTTAATGTGGCTGCCAGAGGTATCTGTCCCCATGGCCATGGACGGGCACTGCCAGGAGGATATTGAGAAGACCTTTCAGTTTCTGATCCACCGCCTGGGAGGCAGGGAGGCAGTGCTAATGGTGGGAGACATCTACAGCGGTGGCAGTCAGCGTGAGAGAGGCCTGCTGTGCTGGGAGGTGGCCCAGGAACTGTTCCGAGGAACCCAGCAATCCCACATGGAGCTTAGCGAGGCAGCCACTCCAAAGGAAGAGGGCGAGGGGGCTCAGACTCCAGGGCTCTCAGCTTGCCCAGTGGGATCACGATCCATCGCCGCCAAGCTCATCCTCTTTGTCTTCCGCGAGGAATGGTTGAAACAGCAGGAGGGCAGAGGGACGGTGCGAGAAATTCTGAAAGACGTGAGACAGCGATGCCAGCTATTTGTCCCCACGGTGCTGGGGCTGATCTACTGTCGGAACGATGGCTCCGAGCTGTCTGACCACCTGATCCTGCTGGCACACTCTATCAGCGAGGTTTTCGACATTCCGCAGACGAGAGCTCCAGCCTGCGTCAATGCCTACATCAAATCCAGGCCCTCCTCCATCCTGAACACCAAGAGGCTAATCTGTGAGCTGCTGACCTCCAGTGATACAGGTGAGACTGTCTCCTTGCTCCTGAGCCAAAGGTCAGGGCAGGGAATCCGTGGAATTCTGTCTCCCAGAGGCTGGGAGGCTCAGTGTTGAATGTGTTTGAGAGAGGTCACTGGATGTTTTGGAATTTAAGGGATAATTGGGATGTGGCAGGAAAGTGGAATTGAGGTGAATGAATGATCAGCCATGATCCAGTTGAATGATAGAACAGTCTGGATGGGCCAAATGGCTTACTCCTGTCCCAATCCATCTGACAATGGTGTGGTGTGGATCAGCTACTTCTGCCAGGACAATATCAGAACTGAGAGGCTACAATCACCAGGAAACTTTAAACAGTTTGCAGCTCTCTCAGCTTGACTGGGAACCTGAGAGAGACAGAGATAGAGAGAAAAAGCAGACAGGGAGAGAACAAACAGAGAGAGAATGAGAGACACAGAGCCAACAGAGAGAGAGCAGACAGAGAGAAAGGGCAGACAGACAAAGAGAGAGAGACAGGGTCAGAGAGACAGAACCGACAGAGAGAGACAGAATGTGAAACAGAGTGCAGACAGGGTGAGAGCTGACAGAGTTGATAATGACAACGAACTGACAGAGAGTGAAAGATAACAGAGACAGCAAGAGAGAGATACAGAAAGAGTGAGCTGACAGAGACAGAGAGAGCACAGACAGAGTGAGAGGATTTAAGAGAGAGAGCAGGGAGAGACAAAGACTGCTGACAGAGAGAGAGCTGACAGAGTGAAAGATAACAGAGAGACGGAGAGAGAGAGAGTGAGCTGACAGAGAAAGAGAGAGCACTGAGTGACAGGAGATAACAGAGAGAGACAAAAAGTACTGACAGAGTGAAAGGTAACAGAGAGAGAGACAGCAAGAGAGAGACATAGAAAGAGTGAGCTGACAGAGAGAGAGAGCACAGACAGAGTGAGGAGATAACAGAGAGAGAGCAGGGAGAGACAAAAACTACTGACAGAAAGAGAGCTGACAGAGAGTGAAAGATAAGAGAGAGACAGGGACAGAGAGAG